AAAAAACAGCAACTCATGGCAGATGAACACTGCAAACACTGTGTAAAGCACTTTTTTGTGTCTCTGAACACGACATTCAACCCTGATAAAAGCTTTTATTTCTAATCAAATAAAATAAACAGCATGGGACATCACACAACCACATCAAATACCACAATAGTTTTTTATTATTAATCTTATGTAATAATCTTAATGGAAAATAATTCAAAACTCAGAATGTGCCTTTTCAGCTTGTATGGAGATGACAGATTCTACTTCATACAACCCCCTCAAAGTGCACAGTAGAAGGCAACTCTTTGGAAAAAGACTACTCTTTCTATGGCGAATTTTCCACAACACGGACAGAAAAGACTAATGGGGTTATGATGAGAAAGATGTATTGTATCTCTCTTCTTCTTGAGAATTGAGGATAATAAGGCTTCATTACATTCCAGTGGCTCTACACTTTTCAAAATTTCTCAGATGAATCATTTGTAGTGCTCCAGCAAAGAAATGTTTATATTAACCAAGAGCGCTCATATCTTGCATTTTCTATTCAAATGGACAGCTGTCTCTTTGATTCAGCTGAGGGAAACTCGAGGTTTCTGCCTATTAGAATTAAACTTACATACAAATATACATTGAGTTAAAATAATCAATAATGGATTTGAAATTCCAAATGGACTTAATTTCCTTTCCAATACTGATACTTCATTTTGTCATATTTTCTTCAGTGTTTTTTAAAAATAAATATTTTATATCACCCCCTAACAACAGTTTTATTGACTTAATGAGAAAAATAAGAAAAAACACAAATAATTTATTTGCTCTATTGATTGTCAATGGACCTTTCGGCCTATTTCTGTTTAAAGTAGCATCTTTAACCCCATAATGACATATGTATCATATATTATATAAACAGTTTCTGAAATATCTTGCATCTAAGAAATTTTGCCTCATTTAGTTATTAAAAGTATCAAAACCCTGTTTTACACAGTCAGATTCACCTGATAACAATTTTGACTTATCGCACGGTAATATATCATGAATTTTTAAAAATAATTTCTGTTAATTTCAAGGCCATTTTTTCTTTGATCAGGCTTTAAAGGGGTGATGTGTTTGAATTATCCTGATATCATCTTAATATCTAATCGTTCTCTTTAAAAATATGCGACACTGACAAATGTTAGAAAGGAATATGGGTCCTTTGAAAATACCAACAGCATGTACAACACAGAAACTCAGATCAGGTCCACAGGTTAATGTGCTCTCCTTCTGAGATTTCTCCACTGTGACAGCTCAGTCCAGACCCTGTTTTCTCTACCTCTACCCCATCTGTGCCTTTTTTCATGGAAACATAAATCTAATCTCATCTCCAGTGATGCAGCTTCAGCTTGTGTCGCTAAGGTGGATGTTTTGGATAAATACATCCAAAGCTGCCACTGTAATACAACTCACATTCTTTGTCAGCAGGGAGATCAAGGCTTACTTTATTTTGCACTGCTGTTTACACTTACCAAAGGTAAAAAATCTTCCCATTTTTGCCATCTCCCCTGTCATATCAGGAAAAGGATTAGATATTTTTCTCATTTTAACGCGCCTTTCTTTTCCTGCAGTTAACATATTGCGGCTAATACCTTGTCTCAAGAACCATATGCAGTCTTATCCCTGAGGACAGTCTGGGTATGACATCTAAAGCATGGCATCACTTAAAGGAACAACTAATTTGCTACAATCCTCAAGACACAACCTAGAGTGCAATCAGAAACAAAACTCTTATCAGCCTCACATTATTCTCTTTGTTTGGATTTGTTTAGGCTTTGCTCTCAGTCCCAAATCACCTCCAGCTTTGTCTTGCCCTCATCAGCAGCTCTGAGACCTCTTTGATATGGAGAATGCATCTTGTCATTTTCACCAATAATTTCTGCTGGGCAGCTACAACACACAGATTGCTTGCTGGCTTTGATTGTACAGAAAGCGTTTGTGACACTGCAATATGGTGCTCGTGTTGCTGAGAAATGTCTGGGAAAGGTGGTGGGTTGGCTGCTACACTGCCATCTTTGTGTGGATCGCTTCTTCAGCAGGCTTTTATTTTTTAATGCTGCGTGGCATTTCATAGAGCTCAATGAAATGTTCAGCTACCACCTGAGTTAGAAAAAAACAACACAAATCTTAATCTTGTTTGCCAGACCTAAGAGACTCAAAGGTGTAAGATAATTAAAAACATCTTTTCTGTCTCTGTCCAACAGCTAAATATTTCTCCAGTGTGTATGAATTCAATCATTTTTAGAGTATGTTGATTAATGAATGTTGCTAACAATTATCTTATCGTCATCTCGTGTTTCAGTTTAAAAAATGTAATCTGTTATTTGAGTGCCTTGGTGGAATTGTTTGATTTGCAGTACAATTCCCCCTGCGTGCTTTTTTCTTTCTACATTACAAAGTCCAGAGAACAATTACAGCCTGTCTCATTTTTCAGTTTTGGTCGGAGGCAACGCATTACACACAAAAAATATTCTTAGTCTCCACCCAAGTGAATAAAACAGGAATCAAAGAAAGTGCTGATGAATTTTTAATTAGTCCCAACAGTGGATAGAGGTGGTGACGACAAAGATACAAAGCGAGAGATTTGTCCAGCTTTTAAAAAGAACGAGACTGAGTATACCATAATATGGCCTATGTTACACCCATAATCCTTCCATTTATTAAACACACACTGAGAGAGAAGACTTGGCTCCCCACATTTTCCAGATACTAATATAGCTTCCTAATTCTTAACGTTGTTACAGACCGAGCACACACTCCAGGGCAGCCACACTGCACAATGATAGCAACAATTCCCGTTAAAATAACATAGCGCACAACATCACAAAAGTGCACAGTAAAGAGATAGAGTTGTACAATAAAGAGACCAAGCCATTGACTGGGTCCTCATATCCCAATCCAATCAAACATCCATCTGTGTCGCAACAATGACCCCAATCCATGGAGACTCAAACCTGCAACCACTGCCAATGTTATGCTGCGAGATTCAACAGCACACCATCAGATGCCCATAGATCCTAGGAACAACACAGCACCGATACATTTTGGCTTATCAGTGACTCTCCAAACAACCTAATCTCAAAGAAACACAATTTGATTGAAAAATTAAGTTTGCATGACAAATATGGAATTATGGAACAAGGCAGAACAGCAGCTCTCTCAAATGACTTACACACACTTGATGAATAGCAGTCAAGTCAAGGACGGTCATACAAATATATTTCATACATTTGATTTCAACGTGCCATCTATGGGAGTTACAGGATATTTGAAGCCAATTAGATAGCTTACCTTTAACCAAAAGGCTTCCAGCACTGCTTGCTACTCCAAACTGGTTTCTGGCTACACAGGTGTACAGGCCAGCATCCATTTTGGTAACATTGGATATCCGGAGGCTCCCATTATCCAACACCATAACTCTGTAGGGGGATAAAAACATTTTTTGGTGACTTTTTAACAGCTCAATCAATTTCAACTGAGTGCGAGTGCAACCCTAAGCCTTAAAAACCTTTCATGGGTAGGGTTTTTATAGCAGTATCAGTGAATCTCCACTGACTTGTGCGTTAATAACAATTTGAGCTGTCACACCTAAGTTGATTAAAATAATTTTACTGAAAATTCACTTTATGGTCTTGTTTTGGATGAATAAAGATGTTACAGAAAACAAAGAGAGCATTTTATACATTTCAATTAACACCTTGGTACACAAGAATGTTGTAATAGAGGCACACGAATGTAAGAAATAAATGCTACTCTTTATGAGGAATGTAACTGAACAGCACTTAAGGCAACAGACATGAAATCAAGTGAACCCGTAAGTGAGGTAGGTTAACTTGTGTTTCACAGTCACAGTGTTTTCAATGTAAGTTATGTAAAAAAAAAAATGTTTTGAATTTTTACTTAAACCACAAATTCGTGCAGGTTAACATCTTGGAACACATTTTGGAGGTGAAAGAAAGATATACTTCACAAGTCCAGTGGCGTCAAATGATTGAATATGGAAGGAGTCCTGACAGGATGCCATTACTTAGAGGATTTTGATAACTTGTAAGGGCAACTGAATGAAAGCATTCATCTTTCTACTTTTTAATGTAGCAGAAGTCAAAGGTGAGGGAACTAGAGGGAAAACATGTATATACTGTAAGTGACTTGGTGAAAGCCAAACATGCCCGAAACATCCAAACACTTAGGAAAGAGAAATGAATAGCGGGGCTGCCTTGAATAAAGCGAGAAGTTGTTGGTTTTGGCTAAATCACGTCTCAGCTTTTTGAAAAACTTGCCACATGCAGAACAAAGTGCTCCTATGAAAAGCTGATAGGATTGATTTGTGTATTTAGCATTAAACAAAGGTTTCAAATCATCAAACACACATCCATATGAAGCCAAAATATAATCTGTTTAGTTTAATGTGTTGAAGATTGTTGTTCTAGATGTAAAAAGATATCAGTCCTGCATTGTTAAAAGATACAGCCAACAGGATAAATGTCCTTTTTAATCACTATGACAGACTGACTTCAAATATAGCAATTTAGAATGTATTTAGTCAGTAACCGAATAATTGAACTTCTTAAAAATAGTATAACTTTGATACTTGTGACTAGTTAGACCTAATGTCTCCAAAAGTCTGTTTGTTTAATTTGAAGCGTATCTTTATGTTTCAGTTATGTGTAGAGTTCAGTTTTTCTTTATTAAACATGCTACTATGTGCACAGGCCTGCCAGCTGAAAGCCTCTATTTTTGTAAATCTAAATGTATTTCTTTCTGACAATATTACAAATAACAGCTGTAAAAAAAAACTTTCATTTAGCTGTCAACCAAAATGGCCTGTGAATGCCTGCCGTTTTGTCATTTGTGAACAGTTACGTTGTAAATGGTCCAAAAATTTACAACAGCATAAACTTGTATATTTCCTGTGTTGTGTCACTTTTGTATGTTTTTCTATAGCCAATAGTGTAAGAAAGAAAATCAGCTTTGATCACTCAGTGTGGATAACATTCACAGTGCACATAAAATCTACTGATCCCACAGTGGGGAAATTCAGTTGTTACAGCGGCTCACAGGAAAGACAGAGAAGACAATATGTTGTGGTGACAATATATACAAAACCTCAGGTACTAGCGGCAATATCCCGAGAGGGTTTGAAAAAATCTTTTCTGAGTTTTTTTTTTTTTTTCATTTGTCCACCAGGGAATACTGGTATAACAACAGTGACAGGACAGGACAGGATCGTTTCCACACAGCAACCTTTGGCTGTCATATCGAAGCTAAGTATTGGTCTTGTAGAGATAACCTTAAGCTATGCTGTTTCCACGGGCGCAGACGTTTCCAGACGGCCAGGAGAAATTCCCACAGGGACAAAAGCTATCACCCTGCCAAAACTGACACAAGCGACATGTTGAAATAATAATCAGACTGGCTGGACGTTATCAAACTGTATTACAGAGACATGGTATCGGATCAGTTTGAAGGGTAAAAATCAATATTTAATGGCATGAAGCAGTTGTTACACTTAGATTTTATAGATAGATAGATAGATAGATAGATAGATAGATAGATAGATAGATA